TACAACCACACTGACTCTTTCCAATGATGGGCAGTTGAACTTCTTGTAGGGTCTTGTTATTTGGCAGACTTACTGGAAGACAAGACAGATAATAAATTCCCAAGCTAAATATGTCTGATTGCTGGCTAAGATCCACCATTAACATGTTACGTCGTCTCTAACGGTAGCTGACAGCCATGGCTCACAGATGGGACTGGGAGTCCAATTGCAGGAGCCTGGTGGAGAGGATCAAAGGATGAACAGAGATGTGCTTTGTTATGGTGGACAAAGGTCATAGAAGACCAATGTTTCAAGCAGGTAGATGGATGCAGGAATGACATTGCGGGATCTGTGCTTTATACTGGGATATTGGCAGGTTTTAGGTTTAGGCTCCAGGTCTCAGGTTTTAGGGTTTCAGGTTTTCAGGCTTCTACATATCTTAGAGCAGAGCTGAGTATAGCACTATCTGGGTAGCTCAATGACAGACCCCCTTTCCGATGGCATCCCATGGATTAAATAGGGAATCTGGATTAGATTAATGGGGTGATTAGGTGTCTGATTGACAGGGGGATAGGTGGATGAATGGACCGCATGAGCATGTTCGAATAGGAGCTACTGCGGAGGAATACGATTGCTTGTGGTAATGTTGCAGTCTCTCCAGCCTGGGAATGACATAACACCGATAACATAACAAACACTTCCCTCTCCAGCAATCCAACACCACACAACCACTGGGACCTACACTGTAAACCATGATAATTGCTTCTCTGGTATTATCACAACAATTTGACCACTACTTTATGTTCCTGTGGGAGTCTTCTGCTTCTCGAGCCATTGCCCTCTCTCCAGGTAGCTCTCACCCAACTTTCTGGCAGTCAGTCCCACTGCCTTCTCAACTCTCAAGATCTCTCAGAGACTTAGAAAGTTCTGCACTTGGGTTTCAGCCTGTCAGCTTGCCACAGGGAAAATGAATCTCGTTTACAAATATACTGTCACCATTAGTCTTCCTGATTTTGTATACCTAAAAACCCTCAAGTAGTGTCTGTTTTAGAAAAGCAGTAAACATAAGTGAGATACACTCACCACCCTCCGCTATGTTTCCCCAGCCAGTGACCCAGCAGCTGGTCCCAGTGTGGAAGGAGCTGCTGTTAGCTGCCAGACAGATGGGCTGAATGTAGTCTGTGAA